AATAGCTTTAATAAAGTTGCCAATATTCTCCAACTATAAAGAAAAAGAGTCATATAAATTTCGGGGCTAAATATTGATATTCATAATATCTAAGAATTCCGAGTCTTCATCGCTAGTTATAAGATGCCAGACAGAAAGCTACTTGGCAAGGATTCTAAAGAAAATACATACTAAGCACAGTTCCTCTCTGGAAAAGGAAAGAGTAAAAAGAGTATCTCTCAATGTGGGTCACATATAGTCAATATTTTTAAGCAGTTTTTTCAGCTCTTTAAGGGCAAGATCTTATTTATATATTTTTAAGAACTTTGTGTCAGAGCTATCCAGGCCTGGAATGTTCTCTGTCAAAAAGCAGATAATTACATTAATAAACAACTCACTATGTGCTTTAATTTTAATTTCAAAATAAATGTGTGGTTACTAAATGCTCATTCTCTCATATTACAAAACACACAGTCAAGATCAAATAAATATCCATTTTTCTTAACCACATACATTCACGAACTAAGATTATGTCTGATACAGTGTTCTATAGTCAACCGTTAGCTCTAAATGCTCATTCTCTCATATTACAAAACACACAGTCAAGATCAAATAAATATCCATTTTTTCTTAACCACATACATTCACGAACTAAGATTATGTCTGATACAGTGTTCTATAGTCAACCGTTAGCCGTAATATCAAATGCCTTGCTTTTTCCCTAGTTCATCCTTATGGTCTACGTTGTATTTCTCTGTGTAAGCTGTATCTATTCCTTTCTGAAAAGAGATTAAATATAGGAAAACTTTTAAGCTAAACACCTAATAATTACAGAATCAGTTCAATAAGTAATTATGGAAGTATTTTTTTAAATGGCAAAGAAACTAAATATAGCCATATGCACAAATTTCTGCTAAAACGTCCACTTAAAAACTGTAATAAAAAACCAAACCAAACCAAAACAAAACTGAAATCACATGTTCACTACATAAAAAATAACCAACTAGAACCAGAAGTTGCTGGTTTGGCTGTTACCTGAGGCCAGTTTAATGAGGATTCGTTGACCTTCTTCACTGAGCCTGGCTGTAGCTTGTTTATGAGTCTGAAAAGAAAAATATAGGACACGTTGTTTATTGGTCACACAACAACAAGGTTTGGAATATAAAGCCTGTTCCTTTAACATCAATAAAGGAAAGTGTTAAGCACAGTGGCAGAATATCAAGATTTGACACCTGGACTGGGAAGCCTGTGGAAAGGACTGCAAGAGCAGAAACAGACATTCTAGGGCCATAACTTACTCGCAGAGGATGATGCCATCCTTCAAGCCCAGCTGGAAGTTGGTGCCAATGCTCATGCCTGTCACCTCTTCTATCCAATTGCGAAGATCTTCTTCCGCCTGATGATCATACTTAGAAGCAATCTGAAATACAAGTTAACTACCTTTAGAAGAATTTCACTAAAAGATCAAAAACTGCTGATTCACTAACTTGCTCTGCTTTCATTATCAAGACCACAGCTGTGACATGCAGTAAATTATACTCAGTAGAGTTCAATGGCAAACTTAACTGTTAGAGCTCCAGTAACTAATAAATTTTTGGCGAAGACGGTGTTATACAAAATTTTGAACAGTACAGACAGAAGGTGGCACTGAGAGGGAGAAACTATCCTTAAAGATAAGAGAGATTCCCTTTCATGACACACATGAAGTGACAAGGATTTAATAGCATATTACAATACGGCACCAGACATGACTTAAACTTTAAAGATTAAGTCATTAATCACCATATTCCAAAAAAAGATGGGGAGAGGATTCTGACATGTGCAACTACTTTACACAATATCTCAACTGGCCAAGACATATCATTCCAATAGTTTTGTTGCCTGGAAGTTCTGGTGCTTGACTTCTATTCGACCAAATACATGCTACTCACTATATACACACACTTTCCTCAGTACTAATTACTGTACTTACAGTACAATAGTACAAAAATTCTGCTTTTGTAGTCTCTATGTTATTAGACTCCTTACCAGAAAAAAATAACATTTAATTCACTTTTGTATCCTTAGTACACAGACATCCAAACATTTCATAAAACTAAAAGAAAATTTAACTTTTTACTTGCAAAATCTTATAATAAAGGCAACTTACAAACACAGAAGCTATGCTATTGCACATGCTAATAAAACTACCTGTTAAACACAGGTTTTGAAAGATCCCTTCATAATAAGAGCATAGACCTCAATTTTAAAAAAATAATAATTTAAACAAAATATTTTAAAAATCACATGCTCAAGTTCTTAAGTTATTCCTTCTTCTAGAGTCCTTAAAGGGATGGTCAATCAGAGTTAAGAAGAACACAGCTGGGAAAAAGGAAAGATCATGTATCATGTGGCCTCTCATTCGCACAGGTGAAAATGCCCACTACACCCAGGCAATGCCTGGGGACAGAAATCTAGAGCTTGGGAGTTGATTACAGCATTGTTGCAAATGGAAACGAATGGTAGAAATGTTGGCTGTCCATAAAACATAATTAGCTTTAATTTCTGAAAGAAATGAAATGGCATCATGGCATTTTAGCCAAGAGGAGGTCCTTCAAGTTCCAGTCTACACCAGTCACAGAAACAACTGTGATGCCCTGGGCTCCTGGTGTCAGAAAATGGGACTGTGGGCTGCATTAGGGTCCTTTCCAAGAGACAGGAACCACGGATCAGCAGGAGCAGGACAGATATGAAAGAACCTGGCCAGCTTACATTTAAGTCACCCAACAGTGAAAACCAGCACCGGGTCTTAAAAAGACAAGCTGTTGCACTTGATCACAGTCCCTTTTCATGTCTGTCAACAGCTACGACAGCCTTTTATACTTTTCAAGGTAGAAAAAAGATTCCATTTCCCAGGTCAAATAAGTGGAAAAATCTATGTTCCACGTAACCCTCTCACCGGCTCACTATGCACCTGAGCGTGCAGGTATACATCTCCTAGCACACAATTAGACCACTCCTCGTGCTGTTCTCAGTCGCCCCCCCCCCCCCCCAC